AGCAGCTGCTCTCCACCCAACCAATCAACAGCTAAGTACCCCGCCCTTCCTCTCTTCTCCCAACCCTCGCACTGTGTTGCTTTGCTTGTCATGCTTGCACCATGCATTACACTCCCTTTTTCACTGCTCTTTGTCACACCCATTAGACCTCCCTCCCCCAAGGTAGTAGGTATACTTTTCTTGGTACAGCCTCAGGTATTCGTTTTATTTTGGTTCAGCCGGTACGAGGTCTCTTGGGTGTGCCACTGCAGCAGTCCATTCATGCACACATCATGCTTGTGTTTGCTCCACTCTTCACTTTCCCTTGTCTTGGCTTCTTTCCTCACTGCTCTCTCCACCCCTCTGCCCCCCCTTCACCCCCCCGTTTTCCTCCCCCTTCCTCCCTCCTCTCTGTCCCGGTCTGCCCCCTTCTGGTCCCAGCAGGTCGCTCACACGGGAGTGGCAGTGGCGGGGGACATGGAGTGCACAGGCAGCAGCTGCTCTCCACCCAACCCACCCACAGCTAAGTACCCGCCCTGATTTTGTGTTCATTGTTGTTCCACTTCAGTCCTTGTTGCAACGTTGTCGCTTGTGCATTCAAACACAATCCGCTGGTTGAGCCAAAGCTTCAAGCCACAGACCCCTTTTCTTGGGTAAATCCCCCCAGGTACTACAGGTATACTCTAAGGTTTGCAGGTAAGCCTTCCAGGTGTGTACTCCCCTTGGGTCTGTGGCTTGTAGTGAGGCTGCACCAGTGGCCCCTTTTCTGCTCTCACCTGCCATCTCACCCCAGCCATCCTACCCCTAGCCGCTTTCTCACTTCTCTTCGGTTCTTTTCTTTCCGTTGAGGGGAGGGGCGTGGGGGTCAACACCACCATTACCCCGTGTTAGAATATCTCCTCTCTTGTAACCTGCATATATGCTATAGGATAGGCTAGAGATAAGCACCCAAACTTAGTTTGGGTGTACAAGCAGGGGTTACCCAATTTGTAGGTTGGAAACCCAACCTTGGTCCAATTATTGGACCCCAAGGGTTGGGATGGGTAGAATTATTGGTCCCCTCCAATAATGTTGGCCCAACTCCAACTTGGCCAACATTATTGGACCCCACCAATAATCTCCCAACCCAACTCCTTGGTTGGGGTCCAATAATGTTCACCTAGGCTAGTTTCCAACCCATCTCCTATGTAAACCCCCCATCCTTTTCAATCAATCCATCAACTTCTCTTCTAACTTTTCTTCTCACATGGTATAGAGCTCTTAAAAATCCTAGGCCTACGCTCCTAGTTTTTTTTCAAAGGCCGCCGCAACCCCCGGCCTCCTTTCTCATTTTTCCGCGGCTATCTCGCCACCCTCCCCCTCTCCTCAAGCACTCCCTTCCTCGCAGCCCCACGGCCTCCCACGCCATCACGGCTCGCGGCCCCACCGCCGCTTCCGCGCTCGCCTTGTCGCGGTCCCGCCGACCGCCACCGCCCGCCCCATTCCGCGGCCTCGACGCCGCCTCCGCGCCAACGCCACTGCGGCTCCACCAGCCGCCGTTGCCGCCGCCGCTCCCTTCCGCGGCCTCGTCGCCGCCTCCGCGCCTGCACTGCCGCGGCTTCGCCAGCCGCCGCCGCTCGCGCCGCTCCCTCCCGCGACCCCGTCGCCGCTTCCGCGCCGGCACTGCCGCGGCTTCGCCAGCCGCCGCCACTCGTGCCGCTCCCTCCCGCGGCCTTGTCGCCGCTTCCGCGCCTGTACTGCCGCGGCTTCGCCAGCCGCCGCCGCTCGCGCCGCTCCCTCCCGCGGCCTTGTCGCCGCCTCCGCGCTTGTACCGCCGCGGCTGCGCCAGCTGCCGCCGCCGCCTGCGCCTCTCCGCGGCCCCATCGCCGCCTCCACGCTAGCGCCGCCACGGCCTCGTCAGCCGCCGCCGCCAGCACCGCTCCCCTCGCGGCCTCGTCGCCGCCTCCGCGCCAACGCCACCGCGGCCCCACCAGCCGCCGCCGTCCGCGCCGCTCCCCTCTGCGGCCTCGTCGCCGCATCACCTCCCTCTCCTCCGTGACCACTGCGGGTCCCCCCGCGGCCGTCCTTCATGGCTACCGCCGCACCTTCCCCCGCCCCCCTCCCTCCTCCTATTGATACGTCCTCCATTGATAAGCTCCAGCTCGCCGCGGACAAGTCCGCAGTCAACTGGCACTCCCTCGTCGGCAGCATCCGACGCGTTCTCTCCGACGCATGGGTTCCCCCCTACCGTGTCCTTGACGTCATCCTCCGCCGCCCCCATGCCCTCCCCCCCACCGAACCTCCCCACCCCGGCGAGACTCCTCCTCTTCCTCCTACTCCTGGCGACCCTCCTCGTGAACCCGATCTTCAGATCACCCCCGACCAAGCCACTGCGGATGCTGATTTTATCCTACGCCGCCGTGAATACCTCATCCGCAAAGCCGAGTACGATGCTGCAGTTGAGGCCTATGATCAGGCGGTTGCTGGTCGCGACGCTCACCTCGAGGTCGTCGCCAAATACAAGGTCGACATGGCTGACTTCACCCCCAGACTCATCGCCTGGACAGCTGCTGACACCCGTGCCTGCACCGTTCTCCTTGGAGCTCTCCCTGACTCCCTCATGCGTCGCTTCCAGGCTCGGGAACTCCGTGCCTCGGTCATCTGGGCAGAACTCCATGCCATGTTTGAGCGCCGCGACATCAGCTCCGTCGGCATCCTCTTCCAAGAGTATTTTTCCATCACCCTCGCCACCTGTGACGGAGCAGTCGACTACGTCGGACGCATGCGCGAGGTAGCTGATCGCCTCGAAGCCCGCCAGGCCGGCCTCTCCGAACCTCTTCAAATCCACCGCCTCCTCTTTAACCTCACCCCAGACTACGAATCCCGCCTCCACGCCTTTACCGAAGCCAATCCCATGGCCGGTCTCGCCTCCGTTGAACAGTGGATCATAGACACCGAAGTTAAACTCCGTACACCCATCGTCAACCTCGCCTCCTCCCAACCCACCTCCTCCTCCCTCAACGCTACCCAGCCTCGCAAGCAGGGAAAGAACAACGGCAAAGGAGGAGGTGGGGGCAAGGGAGGTGGTGGTTCGGGAAGCAGCAACAACCGTGGTGGCACCACTGGGGATGAGCACGGCACCACCACTTCGGGTGGACCCACTGCAAGTCGCGGGAGTCGCCCTGGCACGCTTCCTCCCTGCACCTATGTCCGCCGCTATGGTCCTCGGGCTGGAACTCCCTGCGGACAGACCAACCATCCCCCTGGCACGTGCTTCAAGGCTCTCGACGATGCCTGGTACGCGCGGGGTAACGTTGGCACTCCTCCAAAGTGGGGCAACATCTCCCCACGCCCCTCCCCCACCGATATCCAAACCAATCCAGCCTACCTCCCAGCCCACCTCCGCCTCCTTGCTCCCCCCACACCCTTCCTCAACCTCCAGCAGCAGCACCTCCAGCAGCAGCAGCAGCAGCAGTTACAGCAGCTGTTTCAGCCTCAGCCGCAGCAGCAGCAGCAGCCACAGCCGCCGCAGCACCCATGGGGGTCAGGACCCCAGCCACAGTGGGGACCCAGCCTTACTCCCTGGCCGCAGCAGCAGTTGAACTTTGGCACAGCAGCCATGGCCGCTCAAGCCTCACCTGCCCCCCTTTGGGGTGCCCCACCCCCCCCCAGTAGCACTGCCACCCCTCTCACTCACGAGAGCTTCCTTGGCAACATAGCTATTTCGCCCTCTCTTCCTTCCATGTACCCATCCAACATTAATGAAACCACTTTCCAGTACTCAGTGTCTTCCTCCTCCTCCTCACCCACTCTGGACTTTGTCCTTGACAGTGGGGCCACTGAGACCGCCCTCAAAGACGCTGGTACACTCACACCCCTCTCCCCTCCCACTCAAGTTCACGGTGCTGACAGCAGCTTCACCATCCCATGCACACACCTCTCCACTCTCCCCTGTTCACTCTTCCCCTCTGGCAAGGTAACTGGTCTCCACATCCCCACTCTCCGAAACAACCTCCTCTCCCACCGTGAAATCCAAGGTGCAGGTATCACTGCCGTCTATCCTGGTAATGCCACCTACTGTGACCTTTACCACACTGCCTCCGGCCGCTTCCTCCTCCGCATACCCCTCTGCCCTCGCACTCGCCTCTACACTCTCCGCACTCCGTGGCCATCCTCCTGCCATGTTACCACTCGTGCGGGTACCTCCACCAGCCCTCCCCATCTCCCTCCCTCTCCTCCCACTCCGTCTCCTCCCCACTTCTCCATCCCTTCCTCACTCATTCCAATCCCCTCCACCTCCGACCATCTCTCCCACCCCGCTGTTCTCCTACATCACCGACTCGGCCATCCGAATTTTGCCGCTCTCCGCACTGCCGTCACCTCACGACTTCTTCACAGCCTCCCTCCAACTCTTCCTCCCCTTCCCTCCTCCCCAGCCCCCCCATGCCCCTCCTGCATCCACGGCAAACTCAAACAATCTCCTCACCACAGCCACCCATCCTTTGCTCCTGCACCCATTGACCTTGTCCATATGGACCTCTGGGGGCCCTCTCCCACCCGCTCACGCCAAGGCCATCGCTACATGTTGGTTCTTGTTGACGATCACAGCCGCTACTCCTCCATTTTCCTCCTCCACACCAAAGACCAGGCGCCGACCATTATCATTAACTGGGCAGAGCAATGCCGCACCCACTTCAAACGTCCCATCGGCCGCCTCCACTCTGATGGGGGAGGCGAATTCCTCAACCGCACTCTCTCTCACTACTGCACCACCCATGGCATCCAACAGACCCACACTCTTCCCCACTCCCCACAGCAGAACGGCGTTGCAGAAAGCCGCATTCGCGAAATCACTAAGATCGCCCGCTGTCTCCTTGCTCACGCCTCCACCCCTCCCTCTCTCTGGGGCTATGCCCTCCTCCATGCTGCCCTCCTCCTCAACCTTCACTCCCATCCCCAACACACTGCCGCTACCCCCACGGAGCTCTGGTCAGGAACCAAACCTGACGCTGCCGGTCTCCGTGTCTGGGGTTGCAAGGCATATGTGCTTATTCCTCCACCCGACCGCACCCAAGGCAAGCTCGCTCCTCGCGCCCTCGAGTGTGTCTACCTCGGACACAACCGCGACTCGCCTGGTTACCTCTTCCTTCACCCTCCCTCTGGTCGCCTCATCCGCAGCATTGACGTTGTGTTCGATGAGACCACCCCGTACTACTCCTCTCCACCACCGGACCCCCTCCCTCCTCCCACACGTCCTCTCGCTTGGGCCGACACCGTCCTCCCTCCCCTCCTCCCTCCGGCACCCCTTCTCCCACCCCTCCCCACCCCGCTTCCGCCACCTTCATCCGCCGACGTCTGCGATCCCACTGCTCCTGCCTCCCCCACACACTCCACGGCTCCCCCTCCCTCCTCCCCTTCCCACTCCCCTCCTCATCCATCACAGCAGCAGCAGCAGCAGCAGCAGCAGCAGCAGCAGTAGCAGCAGCAGCAGCGGCGGCGGCGGCGGCGGCGGCGGCGGCGGCAGCAGCAGCAGCAGCAGCAGCAGCAGCAGCAACAACAGCAGCAGCAGCTGCAGCAGCAGCAGCAACAGCAGCAACAGCAGCAGCAGCAGCAGCAGCAGCAGCAGCAGCAGCAGCAGCAGCAGCAGCAGCAACAGCAGCAGCCGCAGCAGCAGCAGCAGCAACAGCAGCAGCAGCCGCAGCAGCAGCAAGGGCAGCACCAGCAGCGGCAGCAGCAGCAGCCGCAGCAGCCACAACAGCAACAGCAGCCGCAGCAGCAGCAGCAGGGGCAGCAGCCGCAGCAGCAGCAGGGGTTCCAGCAGCACCAGCAGCAGCAGCGGCAGCAGCAGGGCAATTGCCCGCTCCTCACCCTTCCTCCTCCCTCGCATGCACACCCGCTCCCTTGACCCCATCCTTGGTGCACCGTCTCCTCCCTCCCTCAACCAACTGGAGGACTCCCATGAGGAGTTCACCATGCATCGGCGCCACACTCCCTCTCTCACAGTACTTTCCCCTGACCTCCTCGGCGCCCTACTCCTTAGCGCGATCTCCGCTCCCACCATCTTCGTCCCCTCCACCTTCCAAGAGGCTATCACCTGCCCTGACGCCGATAAGTGGATAGCCGCCATCTTCCAGGAATGTGAAGCATTCATCCACAATAACTCCTTCATTGACGTTCCCCTCCCTCCTGACGCCAACCTGGTTGAGGGCAAGTGGATCTTTCGAGTCAAGCAGCTGCCGGGAGAAGAACCAGTCTACAAAGCTTGCTACGTTGCTAAGGGGTTCACCCAGACCTGGGCTGAGGACTACTGGTTCACGTTCGCCCCCACCGTCAAGCAGGCCACCCTACGCACCCTTCTTGACATCGGTGCAAGAGACGACATGGAGATTGACTCCATGGACGTCTCCAACGCTTTCCTGCAAGGTGAACTGCACGAACGCATCTTTCTCCGCCGACCTCCCGGGTTCCATGCTACGTTCCCCGACAACACCGTCTGGCAGCTGAAGCGACCGGTCTACGGCCTGAAGCAGGCACCACGAGAATGGCATGCGAAGCTGTCTGCTACTCTCCAGTCCCTTGGCTTCTCCCCCTCCCACTCCGACGCCAGCCTCTTCATCCGCTCTTCCCCCAGTCGCTTTTTCATCTCGGTCTACGTTGACGACATGATCCTGCTGGCGGACTCCAGGGCCGACATGGACCAGATGAAGCGGTCACTTCAGGAACGACTCAAGTGCAAGGACCTTGGTCCCCTCCAGAACTACCTCGGCATGGCTATCACCCGTGATCGATCCGCCCGCACCATCACTCTCTCCCAGTCCCACTACATCGGCCAGGTCCTGGAGAAGTTTGAGATGGCGCAGGCCAAACCAGTCTCCACCCCCCTCCCCTTCGGTCACCAACTTGCGCCACCCACCTCCCCCTCCTCCTCCTCCCGGCCCTACGCCGAGCTCGTTGGGTCGCTGATGTACGCGATGATGTGCACCCGCCCCGACCTCGCCTACCCCGTCAGCGTCCTTGCTCGGTTCGTCGGCTCTGGCCGTCACACTGAGGAACACTGGGCTGCCGCCAAGCGGGTCCTCCGCTATCTCTGCGGCACCAAGGATCACGCTCTCACACTGGGTGGATCCTCCCCTCCCCTTCTCTCGGGCTTCAGTGACTCCTCCTGGGCAGACAATCAGCCAGACCGCCGCTCCTCCCAAGGCTATGGCTTTACCCTCGGCAGCGGACTTATCAGCTGGCGTTCCACCCGCTCCTCAGCCATCGCTCTCTCTTCCTGCGAAGCTGAGCTCTATGCGGGCACCATGGCCGCTCAAGAGTCCCGCTGGCTCTGCTTTCTTCTGGCAGAGCTTGGTGCCCCCCAGCGCTGTCCCACGCTCTGGTGTGACAACGCCAGCACCATCCATCTCACCCAGGATCCAGTCTTTCATGGTCGCTCCAAGCACATCGAGCTCCGTTATTTCTTCATCCGCGAACTCGTCCGACATAATCTTATCGCCGTCCGCAAGATCGCCACTGAAGCCAATTTGGCGGATATCTTCACCAAAGCACTTCTTCGCCCCGCGCACTCTGCTCTCCTCCGCCTCATTGGCCTCGCTCCCCCAGGCGCGCCTTGATTCAGGGGTTGCTTCTCTCAAGCCTTTCCGCATCTCTGCAGGTTAAGGGGTTGTGTTAGAATATCTCCTCTCTTGTAACCTGCATATATGCTATAGGATAGGCTAGAGATAAGCACCCAAACTTAGTTTGGGTGTACAAGCAGGGGTTACCCAATTTGTAGGTTGGAAACCCAACCTTGGTCCAATTATTGGACCCCAAGGGTTGGGATGGGTAGAATTATTGGTCCCCTCCAATAATGTTGGCCCAACTCCAACTTGGCCAACATTATTGGACCCCACCAATATTTTCCCAACCCAACTCCTTGGTTGGGGTCCAATAATGTTCACCTAGGCTAGTTTCCAACCCATCTCCTATGTAAACCCCCCATCCTTTTCAATCAATCCATCAACTTCTCTTCTAACTTTTCTTCTCACACCCCGCACTCCTCCCCTGTGGCCGTGCAGGTGGCAGTGGTGGGAGGGGAGGGGGGCAGCACTCCACTCCGCTGGGGCGCGAAGGGAGAGTATCTGGATTGGGTCGTCTGAAACAAGGTAAGACTCATATCCCCTCCTTTCAACAGATGCTCTTTTCATCAGTCATGCTGTTGCTTGGTCTTCTCCCCGTGCCCACATCTTGTTTCGCTCCTTGCCGTGCAATATACTATGTTTTGCACCTTTTCTCGTTGCCCTCTGCACTCCTCTGCTCAGCCTTCACATCCCCATCCTTTCCCTCCTCCCTTCTCTGTCCTATTCTGCCCCCTCTCGTCCCAGCAGGTCGCTCACACGGGAGCAACAGTGGCGGGGGACATGGAGTGCACAGGCAGCAGCTGCTCTCCACCCAACCCAACCAGAGCCAAGTACCCGCCCTGCCTCTTGCGCTTAATTTCGTTCCACTTCAGTCCTTGCTGCATGTTTGTCGCTTGTGCATTCAAACGCAAGCCGCTGGTTGAGCCAAAGCGACACGCCACAGACCCCTTTTTTGGGGTAAACCCCCCCAGGTACTGCAGGTATACCCTCAGGTTTGCAGGTAAGCCTTCCAGGTGTCTACTCCCCTTGGGTCTGTGGCTTGTAGTTGAGGCTGCACCAGTGGCCCCCTCCTCTGCTCTCACCTGCCATCCCACCCCATCCATGCACCCCCCTAGTCGCTTACTCACTTCTCTTCAGTTCTCTCCTTGCCGGTTGAGGGGAGGGGCGTGGGGGTCAACACCGCCGCTCCCTCGCGCTCCTCCCCTGTGGCTGTGCAGGTGGCAGTGGCGGAAGGGGGAGGGGGGCAGCACTCCACTTGGCTGGGGCGGGAAGGGAGAGTATCGGGCTGGGTCGTCTGAAACAATGTGAGCGACCTTTCCCCTCCTCTCTTCCTCGCCTGTCTGCTTCGCCTGCACATCTCACTTTCCATCTGCCTCGCCTGTGCTTTCTCTCTCATCCACTCAACTTCCTCCCCAACTCTCCCCTCCCCTCCTCTCCCCCTCCAACCCCTTCCCTCCCCCCCCGCTCACCCCGCCACCCATCCCCCAGCAGCCCCTCTAGTGGCGAGTTCCCAACATTCCCAGGAGCGCCTTTGGGTGGTGGGAGGCGCTTCAGTGGCGGCAACACAGCAGCCTCAAGGCTCAAGGCGCCACCGCCACTCACAGTCACACCAGCTAAGTACACTCTCTCTCTTTGCTCTCGCCTTTTCAATGCTTTCACACACTCTTACACATACTCACTCACATGCGTCTGCACATCATCTTTCCATCCATGCTGCATGACTCCTCTCTGCTCAAAGCAAGCCACTTGCAGCAGCCTAGCCCACATGGTGCAGACCCCCCTATACCAGGTATCCAGCCTCCAGGTTAAGCCTACCCTTTGCACTATTTTAGTTACTATAGCCCACACTACCTCTGGGTCTGCACCATGTGCCTAGCGCTGCTCCAGTGGTCCCTCTGCTGCTCCTACCTGCCAGCCCACCCCACCCATGCACTCCTCTCACATTTCTACCCCTAGCCGCTTACTCACTTCTCTTCAGTTCTCTCCTTACTGGTTGAGGGGAGGGGCGTGGGGTCAACACCACCACTCCCCTACGCTCCTCCCCAGCGGCCGTGCAGGTGGCAGGGGTGGGAGGGGAGGGGGGCAGCACTCCACTCGGCTGGGGTGGGAAGGGAGAGTATCGGGCTGGGTCGTCTGAAACAAGGTGAGCCTCTTTACCCTCCCTGCCTCAGATGCTTGAATGCCTGTTCTTTCTTTCTGTTACGGCGTTGCTTGCTCTTCTCCCCACCATGCTCACTGCTGTCCCTTGCTCCCTGCCTCCCTCCCCTCCCCTCCCTCCTTCCCCTCACTCATACAGAAGTGGCAGTGGCGGGGACATGGAGTGCACAGGCAGCAGCTGCTCTCCACCCAACCCACCCACAGCTAAGTTCCTGCCCTGCCTCTCTACTCCGTTCTCTCTTGTGTTCTTTGCTGCATCTCCTGTTTCTTCTCGCTTCAAACGCAAGCCACTGGTTCAGCCAAAGCTTCAAGCCACAGACCCTTTTTTTCTAAGGTAGATCCCCCCTGGTACATCAGGTATACTCTCAGGTTAAGCCTTCCTAGGTATATTTCCCCCTTGGGTCTGTGGCTTGTAACTGAGGTTGCACCAGTGGCCCCTTCCCCTCTGCTTCTTCTGATCGTGCATCTCCTCCTTCACCCCCTCGCCTCTCCTCCAGTCACTCACTGTTTCTCTGTGGGCAATTGCAGGTGGAGGGGAGGGGCGTGGGGGTCAACACCGCCACTCCCTCACGCTCCTCCCCCGTGGCTGTGCAGGTGGCAGTGGTGGGAGGGGAGGGGGGCAGCACTCCACTCGGCTGGGATGGGATGGGAGAGTATCGGGATGGGTCGTCTGAACCAAGGTGAGCCTGTTTTCCCTCCCTGCTACAGATGCATCATTTCCCTCTCTTCCATTCTGCATTCTCGTTTTTGTCCACTCTAGTGTTCTTCGGTTTGCATGAGTGTTTCCTTGACGCCAACTTACTCGCTCCTCCTGCCTCTCCTCTCCCGTCCCTCCCCCTTCCCCCCAGTTTCTGCCCACTACCAGGTCACTTGGCAACAAGAGAAGATTGCAGCAGAGGAAGCAGAGTAGCAGACCGGCAGCAGCAGAAGCAGCGGCGGCAGCAGCAGAAGCAGAGGCGGCAGCAGCAGTAGCAGGGGTGGGGGTTGGGGGTCAGGAGGCAGGCTAGGCTAGCTGAAGCTGTGGGGAGGTGTGGTATCAGGTATGGTACGGTAACAGGTGAGGTAAGGTATCAGGTGAGGTATGGTAGTCTGATTCTCTCCTCTCTCTCCTCCCCCTCCCCCCCCTTGTCTTTTCTGCAGCCTGAGAGTAGGAGCACTGGAGCAACGACAGGAGAGTGAAGTCCACCCTCACACTCACCTCCTCTTCTCTCCCTTTTCCCTTCCCTCCCAGCAGCACCCTGCCTGGACTATAGTGGAGTCTCCTCCTTCCGTTCATCCCCCGCTCCCTTCCCCCACCCCCTTCCCAGCAGCCCAAGGCATCATGGCGCTCTGCATGGCTCTGGTAGGTACAGGTAGGTGGACGTAAGGAGGCATGGGGGTGAAGTGTGGGGAGGTGGAAGGGTGGGGAGCATGGGAGCAAGCAAGGAGTTCACTGCCTTAGGAGCAGCACCTTAGGGGTTGTGCGTTGTTGGTCGGGGTGTGGTGAGTGGAATCTGCGCGGCACGGCACTCGGTGCTCAAGTAACCGAACTGGCGTTCAAGGCCTAATGGACACCGTCAGAGCCGACCGGCCGGCGGCTCTGGTTCGCGTCAGCTCTAGCCACGTCAGGGGTGTAATTTGAGTCTTGGGCTGGAAGCAATTTTCCACTACCACACTTAGTCCCACAAGGCACCGCCTCTTGGGGTGCTGTTTCCTTAGAAAAGTGGGCTTTCTGCTGCTCCTACTGCTGGTATGTGAAGGTGGGATGGGCTGGGGGGGTGAGTGAGAGAGAAAGGGGCCTGAACCCCCTTGGGTGGTGAGTGGGGCCTGAAACCCCTTGGGTGGTGAGTAGGGCCTGAAACCCCTTTGCTGGGAAGTGGGCATGAATCCCTTAGGTGGTGAGTGGGGTCTGAAACCCCTTGGGTGGTGAGTGGGGCCTGAATCCCCTTGGGTGAGTGGGTCAGAGGGAAGGGGAGTGAATGTGTGTAGTTGGGGATGTGTTGGTGGGCTGTCACTGGGGATGGTGGGTAGTTGTGGATGGGTGGTGTTGACTTGGGATGGTGGGTAGTTGTGGATGGGTGGTGTTGACTTGGGGTGGTGGGTAGTTGGGTGTGGGTGGTGTTGACTTGGGGTGGTAGGGTAGTTAGGGACGGGTGGTTTGACTTGAGGTGATGGGTTGTTGGGGATGGGTGGCTTTAATCTGGGGTGGTGGGTAGTTAGGGCTGAAATCCTTTGGGTAAATGAGTTGAAACCCCTCGGGTGGTGAGGGTAAGCGGGGCTGTAACCCCTTGGGTGGATGGTTGATAGGTTAGTTGGCTAAAAATTCTTGGAAGGGGCTGAAACCTCTTGGGTTGGTGAAGGTAAGGGAATGAGGCTGGATTTACTAGCGTGGATGAATGGAAGAGAAGGGTGGGGGTTGGGTCTGTAGGTTTGATGGGATGTGCTGTGTGGTTGGGCTATGGTTGGGGTTCGAGTGTGTGAGTTGGATGGGTGGTTCTGTGTAGGTTGGTGATTGGTCAGGGGGGTTCGGGCATTTGGGTTGTATGGGTGGTTCTGGGTGGGTGGGTGTAATGGCATGGCATGCTGTGGTGCATTCTAATGCTATGCATTCCAATGCATGCCATAGCATGGCATGCTGTGTGCTGTGCCAGGCTATGTGGCATGACATGCTGTGTGGCATCAGATGCTGTGTGGCATGACATACTGTGCTGCATTACAGTGTTGTCTGGACCATGGCTTGGGATGGCATGCTGTGGTTCTGAACACCATGGCATGGCATGGCATGGCATGGCATGGCATGGCATAGCATGACATGTGGTTGTGAAGCCCATGGCATAGTGTGGCGTGGCATGGCTTGTGTTTGTGGCATAGCATGGTGTGGCATGGCTTGTGTGTGTGGTAATTCAGGACCATGCTGTGAGAAGCCTCGTTCAGGGTGACAACAGCTGCAAAGGAGTGCAGCAGGGCAGCCAAGCAACACAGGCAAGTGAAGATCAGGAACAGGGTTGGAGCAGTGGAGGAGAGGACAACTGCTGGGACAGATGATGGTATACGGACACGCGCCTGTGTGGCCTAGTGATTGTGTAGTCATTTACGGATCGTTTGAATTGTAACAGATGTTTTGGATTCTGTGTTATTTTCTCCGTAGTACCGTTTAAGTTCTTCTGTCCTGCACGTCTTGGTAGACATTCTGAAAATACCAGAACCGAACCTGGCCAGGTACTGTAGTGCTGTAATGATGAGCATTGAGGTGAAACTTATTGTAACGTACAGTATTGTTTGTGAACAGTTTTCACGGTGTACATCAATTTGAGCCTGACTCGAAAACTGTTATGAAGACAGTATATATGGTAAAGCATCTCCCCATTTTTCCCACCTCTGACTAAGATAGGAAGTGCTACATTACAAGAAAGGGATTGACATTCAGCATCTCCCTACATTCCAATCCATCATCTCCTCTCCCACACTCTACTGCCCCTTTCATTTCTGCCTGTCTTCCCTTCGTCATTCCGCCCCTCCCTCAGCAAACCCTCACTTGGACTCCACCTCTCCACCTTTGTGCCACTGCTGCTGCTGCTGCTGCTGCTGCTGCTGCTGCTGCTGCTGCGGCCACTGTTGCCCCCACTGCTGCTCTTGTTGATCCCACTGTTTCCTCCACTTCCCCATGCCCTCCCCCTCCCCCCATCCCCCTCCACAGGCCTTTTCGTCCAGTACCCGCCTCCACTCCCCCTCTCACCTTCCATAACCCCATTGCTGCTCTTGTTGCTCTCACTCTTCCTCCCTCTTCCCCCTGCCATCCCTCTCCCTTCATCCCCCTCCACAGGCCTTTTCCTCCAGTAACCACCTCTACTCCCCCTCTCACTCTCTATCACCCCATACTCCCCATTCTCGCCTATCTCTTTCCTGTTGCCTCTTCTGTCCCTCCTGCTCACCCTGCCCTCCCTTCTCTCCCTGGTTTCGCTGCTAGGCCGCCAGTCACCCCTGCTGCCGGTGCTAACAGCTGCAGTTCTTGCTGCTGCTGGTTGGGCCTCCCTCCTCGAAGCAAGAGCACGAGAGGCGGGGGAGGATGTGGGGGAAAGGCGGAAAAAAAAAAGGTGAAACGGCTGATGCACTGTGCTACATATAAAGACATTCTCACCTGACGTCATGCTTACCTGGCATGATTTTCACCTGCCGTGTCCATGCATCTCACATGCCATGCTGCCAGGCGCGTGCCATGCACGTGTCATCTTTCTTAGGCTTACCTGATAGCTGCATGCGGCACTTCCTCTCCTGCCGCAAGAAGGATGCGGGCTGAAGATGCTGCTGCTGCTGCTGCCGCCGCAGACACAGGCTTTCGGCGGTAGGACGGTGCAAAATCCTCAGAACCAGCACCACCAGCAGCAGCAGAAGCAGAAGCAGCAGCAGCAGCTTCAGCTTCAGCCAGCAGGGCATAGCCCATTGCCAGCCGCAGCACGTCAGATGTGGCACTAGCAGTGTCGGTTACATCTCTGGAGCCACCCGTTACATCTCTGGAGCTGTCCGTTACAACTGTTCCAGTAGGTGCTGCTGCGGGCAGCACAAAGGAATAGCCCTCCTGTGGTGCAATCTCCTTGCCTGCCCGTGCGCAAGTGTTTCTCAGCGGGCAGCGAGGGCAGACCTGCGAGCAAAAGACGAGGACACAAAAAAAGAGCGGGTAGCTGAAAAGCAGAGAGGGGAAAGGGAGGGTGCAGTGGGGGTCAAGGGAGGGTGCAGGGAGAGGGGGAAAGTCGCAAGGAGAGAAGAAAGCGAGGAAAAATTAAGTAGACCTTTGCCTCTGACAGGGAAGGAGGGAGCGTGGTGAGGGAGAAGGGAGGATGCATGGAGAGGAGAATATGGCTAGAGGGAGAAGGGAGGATGGGAGGGTGCAAAGCGGGCAATAGCTGACTTTTGCCTCAGAAAGGAAGAGGAGGGAGCAGGGAAAGGGGGGAGGGAAGTGCAACAGAGAGTGTAAGGCACGGTGCGGAGAGGGTTGGGGCTTACCTTTGCTTCAGAGAGCGAGAGGAGGGAGCGCAGGCGCTTGGCGGCATTCACTGTTTTCCGGTCGGTTGACGGGCAGCCTGCAGAAACGATTGCTCGCACGTCGCCCAATGTGAAGGAGCTGTAATTGGGTGGAAACGGGAGAATAGGGAGAAGAAAAAAACAAAAGGGGCAGCTTGGTGCAAGAACTGAACAGGTGCTTCAGACTAAAACCGTAATTCCGCTCACAACAAGTGATTCACAACAAGGTCTAAACCCCAAACCTTAAACCCGAACCCTGAATCCTGGATTTCCCGCCCGCTCCTCCTCCTAAAAGCTTGCACCATGCCTAACGCTAATACCCTGTTCCGTGTCCCAAACACTCTTCCCTCCCTCCCCTCTTCCCTCCCCCAACCACCCCCCCCCACCCCCTCTTCCCCCCTCTCTCCCCCCCCCCCCCCCCTTCTCTCTCTCCCCTTGTCCCTGCTTCTACCTGAACAGATGCGGCGAGCATCTCGCGAGGGCCAAAACGGCGCGCTTCGCCTCTCCCTTGTCGGCCAGGAGTGAATCCAATTTAGAATCCGAAATCAGATCCGGCAGTGCATCCTCGTTTGAAGCATGTTCCCATACAACGGCTTCAGAAAAGTCGTCTGTTTGATTCGCCTCTATTTGTGGTGTCTGTGACTCGACATTTTCAAGCTCCTGCTGCGCTGCCGCCGGCGGGCTGTCTGCGACTTCGCCACGTGCAGCCAGGAACTGGTGCGCGACGAGCTGCGATGCAAAGCGACGCCACTGATGCGACAACTCGGCGCTTTCCGATCTGTCGTTACTATCAGCTGATCGGACATCTTTTAGCGGGGATGTTCCTAGCCGAGCGGCTATTGCATCGAGCGATGAGCGCGCAGCGATCGACCGAGAATAAACAACGGAAAAGCGATTCGGAGGAGCGGAGCCTCGATGGATCTGGGGGAACGGCGCTAAAGCGATTGACGAGATGCGGAAGCGCTGCAATCGCGGCACGGGCGGGGACGCGAGAAGGACGCGCACTGGAGCACGACAGATCGACATCTGTCAGGCGCACTGGAGTCAGAGTCCGTGGGCTCGCACGCGCTGCTCGTGTTGATCACGTTGACCCCGCTGATCGCGCGTTAACGGTGGCGGTGCGGCGGACAATCCCCCTAATTTAACCCTTTACCCGCGCTAGGTGTCAGACGATGGCGGCGTTGGTTGTATCAGCCGCAATGCCGACTTGGATAGATAGATCGTAGCGGAACCTCGTAAGGAATACCTTCCGAGAGAGTTTCTCTCTTCCATACAGAAATTTGGAAGGCACGCTCGATATCCTCGCGCGCTCCGCTATTAGCTTTATCTAGCAGGGTCATTTCATTAAAGGATACAAAACTCATAACAGTGTACTGAAGAATCCCAACCAACCATACTACTGTAGTTTGCTGGATGCTGAGCTGTTGACTCCACGTGGCATGTACAGCTCAACAAGACAGCGCATCTTCCGTATGATGAGCACCACGAGTCGGCCATGACTCAAAATCTGAGTCCACGCAAGATTTGACTAACGGTGACGTGGATTGCATGAGCCTTTCTCTACGTGTTAAAGAAATGTTTGCCAGCTCAGCTCCGCGGAGTCCCGTTGCGTGTGTGTGGTTGACCAATCGTGGCCCCCGGTTTGTTTTGGAAATGAACGCGGTTCGCACTGTGGAGCAGCACGAACATCGCGCTTCGGCGAATGACAGGTCAGGCTGGGTGGTGGGGAGGAAATTCGATGGCAGGAGGAAAGGCGGGAGCTCTCATCGTACATCACGTTCTTTCCTCCGTCCACCACCGCTTTTTTTATTCCCAAACCCACCTGCCTGCTTCTTGCGATACCTTTCACACGCTTGTACGTATTTGACACCTGCTTATCGTGTTAAAATTATTTATTATTATTATATTCAACATGGACTCTAGCACCGTTGAGGCCGCTGCTACCAAGACTGCATCCGATGCCACTATTGCTGCTGCAGATAATCCAGTCACTGATAATAGCGAACAAACGCCCGCCGATGTAGCTCCTTCCGCTGACCTGCCTTACGCTGATGCGCCGTCTGATGTGCCACCCGCTGACGCGCCTGCCGATACACCTTCCGTTGACGAGCCTTCCGCTGACGAGCCTTCCGCTGACGCGCCTCCTCCGAACGCTGCCGCGGAAGCTGCTCCAACCGACGAAGTTGCCGCAAACGCCACCGCCGCCGCGCCGCCAGCGAAAGAAAGCACGCCAACAACCGCCGAGATTATCCCAGGGGCTCTGGATGAGACACCCGTTGCTGCTTCTGACACGGCGCCCGCCGCTGAAGCCATTGACCCCCCCAAATTGCGCAAGGTTCTCATTCCTCTAGACGACACGTCAGCGAGCCACGAGGTGCTGACGTGGGCGCTGGATCGGTTTCTGGAGCCGACGCGAGACTACGTGTTCCTGCTGCACGTGCTCTCGCCTTTCATGCCCGGGGTTGGCGGCCCCGCGTCCGTATCCGGCGGCGCGATTGCGCCGTTTCCCTCCATGATTACTCTACCAGGTGCGTCCCCCGCGTTTCCCGCAATCGCCACAGTTATTCCTTCCAAAATGCACAATGAACTGGGCCGCTTGCATCGCTTGAAAGCTAATCCTTAGGGGCAAATTACAAAGAGGATTGAAGGTTGCCACACACGTCGCTGCATTCTTCCCGTTTTTCCGCAAAACGAGACGGTGGCTATCATGGATTAACACAAACTATTGCACGTCAACCATGCTCTTAACCCCTCTACCCCCCCCCCCCCCCCCCCCCGCCCCCCCCTTTTCCTCCACCATCCCTTCTCCCTCCCCTCCTTTCTCCCAACTCTTTCCATTCCGCTACCCCTTATGAAGTGCATCTCAAATGGTTAATGCATTCTACTTATCTACTACTGAACCACATTCCATGCCACCTGGCAGGCCTGCATGTCAGCAGTGATGACTTGGCACAGGTGGCAGCAGCACGGAGAGAGGAAGCACACGTGAAGCTGCAGGGAGTGGCCAGGGAGCTGGCAGAGCGAGGACTGGCGTGTGAGGGCCATGTGGAACTTGGGGATGCCCGCCACGTCATCTGCCACGTGGCAGAGCACTTCCACGTAGATGCTGTGGTGATGGGCAGCAGGGCTAGAGGAGCCATGAAGAGGTATGGAGGCTTGATGAGGTATTTGGTGAGAGGTTGGGTACGTAAGCTCTGTGCAGGGTGATTTGCTTCTGTGGTCAGTGTGGTAAAGGGTTAGTAGCTCTGGGTTAATAGCTCTGGACGTATGACAGCAATCTTGAGGGAGGGGGCATGGCCTTGAGAAAGTGAACGTGGGATGAGACCTAGACATAAAATGCTAAGGATGACAAGAGGTGGGTAAGCATAACGGATGGGGAACGTTGGATTGCATGCAAGAGGTAACAGCAGGATGCGAGAGGGAGTCATGTTTTTGAACTCATTCTGCTTCATGTTTCCCAATGTCCCTTAACACTGCAGGATGATGCTTGGCAGTGTGAGCGACTACTGTGCACATCATTCCCCAGCACCAGTTCTTGTGGTGCGGCATCATCATGAGCATCATCATCACCACCATCATCATCACCACCATGACCTTAAACAGGGTAGCAGTAGGAGTTCCAGCAATGGGCAGGATGCACAAGAGGCTGTTGGTGCTTAGTGTTTAGTTCTCTGGTACCTATTGCTTGCAAATTATTTATCAGAATGTGGCACGGACTAGACCTTGAAAGTCTTTATGTGCTCCACATTAGCTGCCAGTGGTATCAGGCATCGGCAAATACAGGACTGTTAACATCAAGGCCAGGCCAGCGGTGATTGCAGATGGTGTCATGGCCCATGGATATTTGTTGGCAGGTAAATCAATCTGGCCAATGTCTGGTGTCGGAAAGTCGTCCACATTCACAATAATTGTAGCAAAGACACTCATGGCGCACATGTTTGTGTGCACAGCATTCTCAAGTCATTGTTAGAGCCAACAGACAGAGTGGAGAAGGCAACACTGGTGCTGTTGCTGCACGAAAGGAAACCCGTGTGATTCGAGAAAGTCTTGACCTGCAAGGAAAACAGCATTGCATCAGAAGCAGGTTGGGGTTGGGGACCTGGTGGAATCCATTGGAGATAATGTCAACCTGACAGACTGGAGCAGCAGATGTGGGAGCAGTTGAGAAATCACAAGTCCAGAACGATGTGGGAATGCACGCCATGTAGTGGCACCAGGAGCATCCGTTTGCTATGTTGTTTATTACGAAAAGGACAATGAACGCTGATGCCAGCCTGGATGAAACAGTTACCGTAAGAGAGCGATAAAGTAGGGAGAAGAAAGTCCTGGCAAGATCTAGAGATTGACAATGGTACCGGTATTTCAACAGACTTACAGGGCAAGAAATGCTGCAGCAGCCGCCATACGGATTCTTTGCTGCCATGCTGTGTACTTCATCGTCACGGGAATGCCTCGTCCCTCGCCCATCAACGTATCAATGGCAGCAGGCGTTGCTCTCAGCAGGCCAACGAAGCTGGGCTTTGGTCGAATCAACAGAGCAAACCCAAGAAGGATGCCTGAGAGGAGCCCGCCAATGCAGGTGAAGATGTCGATGAAGGGCATCAGTCCGATGGCAAGATTGACAAGTCCCAAGAGTGTCAGGACCGCCAGTGCTTGCCAATGGTTGTGGTAAAAGTTGAAATTTACAATAACTTCTGAAAATGTAGCTCCGATGAGACCAAAAAGTGGGCCTGATACTCCAGCGGATATACTGTCTCTAAGGAACATGGATGAAAACACAGCACTGGCAACTCCCGAAAAGTAAAACACGGCCAAGGGACGCCCTGCAGTGGAAAGAGAAACATCAGAAAACATAATTGAGAACGTGCAACTGAACGCAGAACTCTGCAGCACAGGTGTCTTGTAAATGCAGGCAGCCTACTGACACATACATGGTCCAAATTCCTGCTCCAGTCTGACGAAGACAACTGTGAGGGACAGGAGGTTGCAGATGACATGGACCGCGCCAGCGTGCAGCCACATGGTCGTGAGAAGCCTCCATCCCTGGCGGTGATTCCTCACAAGATCCGCATTAAGGGCTCCCATGTTAAGGAATCTGTGCAAGCGTTTATCATTGCATACCATACACAAAAAGGCTAATATATGACCTTACCGTCCCGTCCACTCACGTGTGTGCGGACGGCCCGAATAGAGGGTTTACTCTCAACGGCTCAAAAGAGAACCGGTGTAGAAACCTCCATACGCAGGTCTGGCCATCAGGGTGAGCATGGCGAGGACAGTTGTTGACACCCATGGTAACCAGGAACACAATGAGGAGACATGTCACCAGAACGGGAGTCATCCAAGGGATATTCAGCGGCGGTTTTTCACTTGGCGCTTCTTTCAGGGTCTCAATCCGCTCCAACGTTGATACGGAATTTCCAGAAGATGAAACTGGAGGTGCAGTTGAAGTAGAAGTTGAGCTAGCAGTTCTCGTTGGTGACATTGCAGGAGAATCAGCCGTACGAAATCTGCTACTCGTAAACACCGTGGCATCTTCTCGCGATCTGGTCATACGTGGAGTCTCAGCTTGGGACAAACCGGACACAGAAGGCGAAAACGGCGGACGAGGCGGAGGAGCGAGAGGAAACTGCCATAACGAGCTTCCAGAAGACAGTGACCGATGGTGACCTGAATCTTGATCAGAATTCGTCCGAGAGTTACTCAAGTTTCCGGACAGGCCAGGATAGTCGGAAAAGCCAGGAGCCAGATGGCTCGGGAAAGGACTCCCTCTTGGAGTGTAACGACCATAAGGAGAAGCTGCTGAGGATGGTGGTAACGGAGAGGCATCGTTGACGAAGACGTGCGAACTAGACGCAGACGACGCAGTAGCAGAGGACCATCGCGGAGCCGAGGCTTGGCGTTGCGTGAAGGAATTCTCATTCTCGGATTGCTCGATTGGCATGCCAGAAGGCCGCTGCATGATTTCAACGAGGTCCTGAGCCCTTATACTACGATGCTACCTCAGCATTGATCCCAGACTTCGAATGTAATTGCAGGATTTACGGCGCAGAACTGATGAGTGCGCGTGAGTTCCGCTAGCATGAATTCCGCACCGCATCAACCTTCTCATGACGACCTGTAATGTTGAATAGATGCTCCAAGCTGAATCTGATGGTTAATTGAAGGTCCCGAGATTCCTGACACTGATCACTGCTTCATTGACGGTAGTACATGGGGCTCATCACCGCGTAGGAGCCCTCGCAGCGTACCTAATACCCAACATCACCGCTCTGCAACGCGAAACATCATTCAGTCCAAAAATATTTTTTTAAACAGGTATACTAGATACACAACAAGAGCACGAAAAAATATGAAGCTACCGTATTTGCAATGCAACATAAACATAAGCACAAGTGTAGTATTTTCTAATTGCAACAGGGTGGCTTACACCCTACAAAAACACTTAGCAGAACACTCTGCCTTGGAAAAGCATTCAGACCTCGATGCCAGGGCATCTCACTTGCAGCGCAAGATTTTGCTCACGAGAATCAACTACACTCAGCCACCCTTTGTTGGCTCGCTGCACAGGGGAAGGTGATCCCTTGTGTCCTGCAACCCCTTGCAGTGTCAGGGCCAAGCCATTATTGACCTTAGTATGTATGGGCTTGCTGACATGGCAGGCAGTTGAGCTGCCGTTACAGACATGGCGGTTGACATGGCGGTCATGGAAGATCATCTGTGTGCTCATCATGCGATCGTGGCCAATGAGACAGAGGCGGTCAGGATACACATCAATCTGGCCGAAGGCTGAGGTTCCTGTCGGGCATTCAAGTGCCTGCCAGAGGTAAGGGGGGATGGGATGCATGCATAAAGTTAATAACCTCATCCATCAGCACATATTCACATTCCCACTTCACCACCAAACACTGACTGGAAGAAAAAGGGATTAAACCATGGAATTGCTTCAAAGTAGTAGAAACAACCCATGAATCCACTCACCGCCTCAAGAATCCGGTGGTGAAGGCCCTTGTCGTCGCAGGTGTACGCTCCAAAGTGTGCGTGGCCGGAAATGACTGCCACCGCACAGTCGTGCTGCTGAATGGTCGCAAGAACCTGACGAGGGATACAAAGGGAATCAATCGTGAAGATTAGTCAGGTGCTGACAAAAGGGTGCGATAGTGGGCAGGGGGGAGGGGGAAGGGGATGGAGGAGGTGAGATGCGCGTGACAAAATTTAGGAAGGATAATTGATGGTTTGAAGATCCAGCTGAGCTCCAGCTGTAGAGGGAGAGGCATTTACCTTGTCGTAGTTCCAGACAAGGCACGTGGAGGTGGGAAGAGCGTTGGGCTCCACAGGCAGGTGACAGCAGATGATCACCGTCTCCCCACACTCATCACTCTCCCTCAACACCCCCTCCAGCCACCCCAGCTGCGTCTCACTCACTCCCCCGTTGAACTTCAGAAACCGCCGCTGCATCCCCACCATCCCTTCCGGACTGTTCTTCTCCTCGTTCGGATTCTGCCGCCCGAGAATCTCCGCCGCCAGCTCAGCGTGCGGGTGGCCGGACGGCCAGCCAATCATGCTGATGTCGTACGGGTCGAGAACGACGAGGCGGAAGCCGGGGAAGGGGGAGAAGTGGTAGTAGGAGCGGTGGTCCGCGGAGGGAGGCATGGCGAGCAGCTTGTTGAGGGTTTTCCGGGGGAGGTTGTAGAGACAGTGGTTGCCTGCAGGGGTGGATGGATACAGGTGATTTCACACACTGAGCAAAGCTGCCATGGCCAGGAGTCAATTATGCAACAATGCTGCAAGGAGCAAAAAAAAATCACAGGCAAAACATAGAAAATGAACCTGGCACGAGGAGCGTACCTAGCATGTGGTATACGGGTCCGTTGGCCAACTTGCCGAACTCGCCCAGAACCTGCCGTGGGGAGGATGGCGGGGAGGCGAGGAGATGGAAGCAGGCGGATAGTGCCGCAGGCGGAGAAGGGGGGAAGAGAGGGAGGAACGGAAGAGAAAGGGAGGAAGGAAAGGCATTGAGACGATCTAAACATGAGATGCGGGAAAGGGCAAGCTCGACGAAGCAATACCACGCGAAACGGGAGAGCAGCAAGAGCACGGCGTGCATTAGGGTTTCCGTGTGATACCGAGGCAAGGGAGGAAAGCTATGAGGCGTTTCTCCTGCAAATCCGGCGAGTGCTGGAGCATTACCGTTTGAAAGGCCTCGAGCGATTTTTCGCGAGGGCAGAGTCCGTCGACGAGGTCACCGAAATGCACTGCGAAGGAAATGTGGTTCGTCTCGTGGTTCCAGTCGCGAACCGCCCTCTTCACCACTGCCAAATTAGAGTCAGCCAACCGTCGCGTGACGCGTGTCAAAACAATGCTGGGGAGAAATTGTTGGTAGAAGCAAGTACTTCCGACGACATTAAAAGCATCGCAGAACGAATCAACGCGAGTGGCAGTAGAAAACTAGCATGATTCCTGCTGACATCAGGATAACGGAGGGGGGAAAAAAGTCCCTCACCTTCTAGGCTGTGTCGGTAGAACCGAGGGATGCCAAGGAACGAATGTCCGTCGTCGATATCCGCGTACTGCACGTCTGTCATCACGCCGAACGAGAACAACGGTTTCTTCCCCTCCGCGTCCTCCCTCTGATAAAAATACGACCCAGTCACCGGCGG